AAAAAAAAAAAAGAGCTTTATAAGAGTAATGATATATTAAGGAAACATCATAACCTAGACCAGAGCAAGTCCGTAAGTCCTATATTACCCCATATTTCCGATACCAGTATATAAATTCCTCTTCAGATTCAGGCAACACATGCAATGATGCCAAATGCAGGAAGATCACAGGCCAGTGAGTGGAAAGTCTTGGGGATCCAGTGACAATGGAAGCTTCTCAACGCTGGCGTGGGTCTCCACATGGCTCCTCAAGCAACAAAATTCTGCCTCTATCAGTATAGCTTCATATGACTTGTCGACAGGAATGTCTCGCAGGGAGTGTGTGTGTCTCGCCTCCAGGGAGGAAGACAGGAGTTCCCAGAATCCTGAGGAGAAGGCCATGCCCACACATAGGCCTCATTGGCCTCATTGGCCCATGCATGACTTGATTGGCAGGCTAGACTCCACCCCTTCACTCAAGTTGACAGGTGATTATGTAACTGCCACAATAATATTGAACTCAAACCTGTGCTTTCTCACCCGGAATGAGTCATTAATACTATGATAGTAAACAAAAAATATTGCTACAAATCATAGAAACATTTTTTTAAATATCAAAATATAAAGCTATTGTTTTTTAAATATCCTCCATCTAGGCCTACATACTTCTGAAGATGGTATTTCTAACTCTTCTCCAACGAATTCGGAGTTCTTCCATTCACACTACATCAAAACAACATTTTGTTAATTTCAAGGAACTCATATTGCATACCTCTAGAATTATCCCTTTGTGGTCCTTAACAATTGATTTTCCCATCTGAGCTGACCTCTGCCTTGAATCTCATTGGCCCAACAGAGCCCCTTTGGAAGGCATTGTTTTGATAGGCCCTTTTTGCTGAAGGCATTTTAATGAAATTAAGACAAGTGTATTCCTGATATCATGGAAATATATATGAACATGCATATGTGAACTGGCACTCAAGTAGCAAAACTTTTCAAAGGTATTAAATGCTTAATGATAGATCAATAAAAATAACTGAATATTGTTATTGTTTATTTAATTTAAATATTCAAACGTTTAAATATGGTAAATAACAGACCTAGAAATGCTTTTATTAACATACTGTGGATGAATACAAAGTAAACCTCCATAATCTGTAATCTCCCACCAGATACTCCAGGCTTCCAAGTTACTCCAAATCAAAACACAAAACCCATAGCTCTTTAGTCGATTCCAATTCACAGAAGTCTTGAAGAATAGAGTAGAACTGCTCCTTGCTGTTATTGTTGTTAGGTGCCATTGTGCGGGTTCCTACTCAGAGCAACTCCATGTGCAACAGAACAAAACACTGCTTGACCCTGTGCCATCCTCACAGTTGATTTGATGTGTGAACCCATGGTTGCAAGCCCATGTCTATCTTATTGAGAGGCTTTTTTTTCTTTTCTTTTTACTGCCCTTTTACTTTAAAGAACATCATGTCCTTTTACAGACTGATATAGCCTCATAAGACATTCAAAGTAAATGAAATGAAGTCTTACCATCCTTCCTTCTAAGGGATATTCTGGCTGTGCTCCTTCTAAGAAAGATCTGTTTGGTCTTGCCAGCACCATTACTCAAATCCATCTGTTTTTCTGTAGTCTTTCTTATTCAGTGCCTCACTTTCATAGGCATATGAGGTGGTTGAAAATACGATGGCTTTGGACAGGTGCACCTTTGTTCTCAAAGTGACATCCTTAATTTTCAACACTTTAGAGATGTCTTGGGTTGCAAATTTACCCAATGTTCTATGCCATTTTATCACTTGATTGCTGATTTCATGAGCACTGGATTGTGGATCCAAGCAATACGAAATCCTTGACACCGTCAATCTTTTTTCTCCATTTATCACTATGTTACCTACTGGTATTGTTGTGAGGATTTTGGTTTTCTTTACAGTAAATTGTAATCCAAACTGAAGGTTTGAATACTTGGTCATCATCAGCAAATGCTTCCAATCTTGCTCACTTTTAGCAAGCAAGGTTGTGCTATATGCATATCGAAGGATGTTAGCCTTCCTGCAGCCCTGATGCCACATTCTTTTTCAGGTAGTCCCTTTATTGGATTATCTACTCAGCATACAGATTGGTGAGAGGATGCAATGAGAAGATATCACTGTGATGCATCCAGATTTCCATCCAGACAATTCTCTATGCTGTTTTCACAACTGCCTCTTGAATGATGTACAGGGTCTGCATGAGCACAATGAAGTGTTCTGGAATTCCCATCCTTCTTATGATTATTTATAGTTTGTTATGATTCACAGAGTTGAATGCCTTGGCATAGTCTATAAAATACAAATATCTCCCTAGTATTCTCTGATTTGTGCAGAGATGTCAGATCCATCTGATATCAGTACTGATATCTCTTATTCCACATCCTATTCTGAATCCAGCCTGAATTTCTGGAAGCTTTCTATCAATGCACTGCTAGGACCATTATTAAATGATCTTCAACAAAATTTGCTTGCTGAAACTATATTGTTCTATAATTTGAGCATTTTGTTGGGTCATCTTTCTTTGGAATGGGTACAAATATGGATCTCTTCCAGTCAGTTGGCCAACTAGCTCTTCCAAATTTCTTGGCGTAGACCAGTGACTACCTCCAGTGCTTCATCAGCTTGTGGAAACACTGGCATCTTAATTTATATTCTTTCAGCCTTGTTTTTGGATAATTCCTTTAGTACAGTTTGAACTTCCTTTAGTATCCTTGATTCTTGATCATATGCTACCTCTTGAAATGACTGAATTTTGACTAGTTCTTTTGGTACTGTGACTGTGTATTATTTTCATCTTATTTTGATGATTCCTGCATCATTAAATATTTTCCCACAAAATATTGTAATATTTCAACCTGAGCCTTGCATTTTTCTTTAGTTCCTTCAGCTTGAGATATGTTGAGCCTTTTTAAACCACATATCATCTCACATTTCATTATAATTCTTTACTTTGTCTTCTTGAGTTGCTTTTGGAACTTTCCCTGTAAATCCTTAACTTCATCATTCCTTCTATTTTCTGTAAGTAGTATACATTCATGAGTAAGTTTCAGGGTCTCTTATGATATCTGTTTTGGTCTTTTATATCTTTTGAATTAAATTTTTTTTTCTTCATGTATGATGTTCAGTTTTTTTCTTTTCAAAAGCTT